TCGAGAAAAATGAAATACTACAGAATATCGTAATTGCGTTTCGATGGAAGCTTTTGATCTTACATACGTGAAGTTAAATGAAATGCATCGACATATACTTGATATCGAGCAGATTATTTCGGACTTTTAGTAAATTCCGATATTAATGATACGATACCACCGGGGGTATTTCGATTTTATAGAATTCTTCGTTTTCTGCTTAATTGCCGATTAGAAAGGTGATAAAATGTGATATATAGACGCAACGTTATCGCGTCTCGATGATAAATAAATTCCTGTTTCGAAACAGACAAAGTTCAAATAACCTCAACCCCTCTTGTAACAGTATACTCTGAAAATTTGTATACGTTTGAAGACTTTTGATTACTATGGCATATCTCTATCTTTGCTTTTAATCGAAATCTTTCTGATTTTGTTGAGACGCACGATAAAAATTCCGCGTAAACGTACTCGAAAGCTATTTATAAGCTATAAAGAAATAAAATAAAGAACTCGGTTTAAAATTTCGATAGTTCCATAATTTTTACATATTTTTACTACGTGTAATAAATATTATAGCGCGTCTTAATAAATATCGATACTTTTCGTATAAGTTGAATGTTTCTGTATTAGTTAGGTTAAGTTACCCGACACGGTTTCGATATAATACGAAGCGAATTAACCGTGTTATACGAGGGTTGAGGGTAGGACGAAATTCTCGTAAAACTGTGAATAGTAACATCCAGAACGCCATAAAAGTTCTGTCGGATGGCAACGATGTCGAGTAGACGCAAAGCAGACACGTGTAAATTGTTTACGGTACCCCATTCTAAACCCTTGGGACCACAACTGTGAGGATTGTGGGAGTTAGTCAATTCAACATAAAATTCTGAGAGAAGTCTAACGAATCCTTTTAAAATTTTTCTCACTGTTATCCATATGTACCATAACCTAAAAATAAAAATTCCTTATTTATTTCGCATCATCGATTTCTTCAAAACATCGAAATTAATCAACCCAAGGTAAATAATTTGAAGAATACGCGTGTTATTACCATTATCGTTCTAAAATTTCTATCAAAAACCTTTTTTACGTTGCAATATTTTCCTAAACGGACTTAAACGAATTCGAACACTCGGCCATCTTGGAAGCAAACAAGTGTGGCCCAATTTAGCAACATGCACGATATATCATCGCTCGGGATAGCCAGGAATGATGGAAAAAAATAAACAATTTAATATTTCAAACCGACTTTCTCCACTTGAATTTTCCACCGGTTGAAACTCGCATCCCGACGTGCACCTGGCTATCTTTTCGCTGGGAGCCTTGCAAAAAGCATTCCCGTCGGAACGAATCGCGTTTACACGAAAAATATTATTCGAAACTGTGAAGGATCAATAAAAGTAGGAGGAACTCCGGTAACGAGCCGGTCAAACAATCGAGGCCGACAATGGCAGGTAAACACGCCCGATCCCAGTGCCGATCGCGACTCAGGTAACAGCTCTTTTTTCTCCTCTCTCCCCCTCTCTCCCCCTCTCTCTCACTCTCTTCCTCTCTCTCCTCCACTCTTTTCAAGATCCATGCACCTGTGTTTACACTGCAGGCACTTGTCAACAATCAACTGTCCCCTTCGTAAATTATAACCTCACCTGCGCAAGGGAACGGGCTCGAATTTTACGAGCCTGCGACGTTAATAGGATTACCGGATTAAAACGTGAAAAGCTAAGATACGGTCGTCCGAGGTAACGGCGAACGGACAATGGTGCAACGCCTGGAGAGACGCAACGACCGTGTGTCCTCGAAGTAGATTTTTATAAGCAGCCCCGTATCGATTACGGAAACCTGTAAACGGCGCGTATTACGGCGATAAAATGGGAATAACCGACTTCCATCGACTTACCGATAGTACGGTTAAACGCAGAATCGTTTACGATCGGATAAAAGGGAACGCGGCTATGTGGGAACTGGTTTTCTGCTCTACAGGGTGATGAAAAAGCACGCTGGGCTGGGCATTCTTCGACGCGGTGAAATGTTTGTAGAAAGTGACGCGGAAACGCGATACGCGCCATGTTTGTTATGTGCGTAGTATCATTCGCGGAGAAAATTAATCGGAATACGAGGGAATACTGGTTTTATACTTTATAGAGTGATGTTGGGGTAGGGTGAATTCGGAATTCTTAATTCGCGGAGAAATGTTTTTGGAAAATGCAATATAATATTTATTATATCTAGAAATGTGTGAATAAAGATATACGCGATACGGAAAAATATTTTAGACGAATATTAATAATACTTAATTAACCTTATTTATAAATGTAGAAATAACACGAATAAAGATCGTATTAGAATTTTCAAATGGAAACCTACCTATATTTGAAAAACACATCACCATTGTGATTACCTAAAGTATTCGGTTTATAGGTTAGGTTGTCAGACTTTGTATCGACGGTTCTAAAAAAGGCTGGAATACATCGAATTTAACAGTTTATATCTAGACAGTGGTGCACGAAAAAATCGACAAGGAACGTTTTTAAAATAATTCGATAGCTGTTACAAAAATCAGCAATGAAAGATCTAACAACACGTTTCTAAAATCTTCTTCTGTATAGCCTATATCTATCGAGATATTTATATATCGAGTATATTATTCTCTACGAATTAAAATACTTTTTCTACCCTCGCTATTTTCATATACACGAACGAATTCTTCACTTCCTAATTGTTTTCCTCGTTTAAATGACGAAACGCAAAGTTACGTTGCTTCGATGTAATTCCGTAGAATCTATAGTTTCAGTTAAACACACTTTCACGTAGAACGTGTTACCGACGGTTAATAGGTTATACGATGGAAAGGAGCGTGTGCGATGACGCGCATATGTTATACGATCGGGACAATAAACCAGCGATTGTGCAGCAGAACGAAGAATAAAAACGGATCGCCTAAACCGGGCTTTTAAAGCGAGCAAATCTGCTCCACTTTCGATATACCGTATTGGAAATGTTCCAACAGTTTCAAATAATTCCATGCGACAGAAGCGTCCCTTCTTATCCGGGATTTACTTCCTTTCTCTTTTTTCCTTCCCCTGCCGCCGTTTGCTCGGTCGGTAATCGTCGATACGTCGGCCACGGTGGCACGTACAGCGAGCATAATGTAATTGCGGATATTGGCCGGCGGCGGTCACGATACACGCATTTATTTTCGTCGTGTTCCCGACGAGCTTTTCCGCCTCGGCTCGCGGACTGTTTACGGCCGAATGGAAATTTGCACGCCGGCCAAATATTATTCCGTCGGCGACCCCGCTCCGTTCACTCGTTCGTTCGTTCGTTCGTTTTTCGGCCGTCCCTGCGCCACCGTTCGTCCTCCGTCCGTCCGTCCGTCCGTCCGTCTGTGTACAGCGCGCCCATGCGGTGGAACACAAACACGCGCGGCCCGGAGCTCACGGACGAGAACGCGTTCGTGCACGCCCTCTAGCGCACGGACGGTAAATTCGGAGCGGATCTGACTAAAGGTCCGAAAAACTGAAGGGATAAAAAAAAAAAAAAAAAAAACAAACGTATTTATACACAAGAGAACGCACAGGTATTTAGCGCACAGACGCGTGAGCAAACTCTGTCTCGCGCGTCGGAGTTTCTGCCGCCTGTGTACTTTGTAGGAAGAGAGCGATGGAGGTAGGCGGGGGAAGGGCGAGAGTGGAGAGGGTGATGGGCGCAGAACGTGGGTAAACTATCGAGAGAAAATAAATACGAGACCGGATTCATTCGACTAACGATCCGAAAGAGTCCGTCTGGCAGAGCGGGTACGCGCGCGCGAGTCGCCTGCCGTCGCAGCCGTTCCCGACCGGCTCCAAAAAAACATCCTGACAGTACTTTTCAGGTCTGCCTTTTTTATTCCATTCGAGTAACACCGATGGGCCGGGCGGTAGGTAGGCGCGGGGTGGGGGAAGCCGGGTAGGCCATGGGCTACGAATCCATCTGACGGGAGAAAGAGTCCTATAGTCTCGGCGCCCATATACCGGTCGATATATCGGTATCTCGAATTAGCATGGATAGAGGCTCGACCGGTACTGCAACGAACGATACTTATCGAAAGTGCGCTCGCACAATTGAAAGGATTTTCGAATGCGAGAATACGCGATGCGTGTTCAATATCCGTGACGAAACGGGACGATGAATTGCGAGAAGAGCGAAGATAAAGAGCGATAAAGTCGGGAGGAGAAAAAATACAACGGTCCGATGACGGGTTACTGCCAGGTGCAATTTTCGCGAGCTTATTCCTTGCGGCATTTAAATTGCTATCCTTTTCTAATGAGGAAGGTTAAATTTAATTTCACCGGTTTCGTTATAATACCCGAGACGACAACGTGTCCGCGATGTATGCACGGTAATGTCGGGGAAACACCGGTTACGGTTGGAACGTTAATCGTATCTGACTACGGATCTGAATGTTTTCACGGTTGCTTTGTGCTCGTAATCGCCGGCTATTGACAGCAAGATGTAGCGAGGTCACCGGTTCAAGCTAATCAGCCTCGTCACTCCGCGTATAATTTCCCGATAAATAGGAGTTACGATAACTAGAAACACGAAATACATGATAAACGAGCGGAGGAAAAAAATACGGTTACACCGAGGATTCGTGGAAAACCGACGGCTCGGTATGTGCGCGAATAACGATTATAAATGCGATGATTAACCACTGCGTAAGCAAGACTGAAACGCGCGTTATATTTACATATTAATCGTTCGGACTTAGCTCCTCGCATTAGAAACGCGATTTTACACGAGTACGTTAAGCTCGGCATGTCGGTAGCGTCGGATCAAATCACACGCTTGGACACGAGCGAACGCGAAAATCCAAACGCTCGCCTCGTGAGCTCACTGCGAGATGTCTCAATACTTCAAATCCTTTGCCGTTTTATTTTTATCGCGATGGTCATGCCAGTCATTCCTATCGAGCGTGTACGTAAGAGGAGAAGAGGGGAAAAAAAGGTGGACAAGCAAGAAAAAGAAATAAAACCACTTACCGGGTGCCGTGCCGCAGCTGCCACAGCCACAGCTGCCGCAGCGTTTATACTGGCACTGGGGTACATCTTATCGTCAGAGGCCCTCGAAGAGGTTATGTTGCTTCCTCCCGTCACGACGAAGTCCTGTCAGGAGTAATGGATATGTCTCCGTTATCCTCAGGTATATCCGGCGGTATCCCAGGTCATAGCCAGTACGCACTATTATTCACTGGTCAGCAACGAAAAAAGAAAGAACGAAACCGGAGAAAAGACACAAGACAAGAAGGTAGAGTCGAAGCGAGAGCACACACTGAGCACTGTCACTTTCTTCTTCGAGTCCGCTTTCCGTGGCAACCACTCACTTGGTACTCGTTTCACAATGAATATACACCGAGAGGAAAAGCGACGTACTGTACACACGTATGAATAGAATAGGAAATACGTACGACGACGTTGTATTACGCTAGAGTTACGCGATACGACTATCCGACGGCACACATGTAAGACGTAGCTCCGAACGATCTACCCTCGACGACGGACGGGTATCAACTAATCAACCGCAGAGTCGAGGGGAAGCGCTTCCCTCTCCTTCTCCCGCACCGTCGCCCGCTACGCCCTCCCACTGCTTACCGCGACACCACGTGGTCTCCCCTTTGCTCGTCTTTTCCGTCTCACTCGTTCGCGTCTAACGGCACGCTCATTTCCTCTCTTTCCCGCCCTTGCACCTCCGACAATCAGCCTCTTAGCTCGTTCGTCTCTTTTCCGTCCGGTCTGGTCGGTTGCGCGCGCGCGCGGCATGGACGGCACTGCTCTACGTTTCAGCGAGACGGGGAATCCGTTCGTCGCGATCCGCTTTGCATTTTTACTTACACAAAAACGAGATTTGCACGCGGTGGATCTTGCGGTGAGTTTGTAGCTGCATTACGCCGAGCGAGTATTAAATTATTACTCCAGACACGCTGAACATCGCTAACGCGCGCCGGAAAACCCGTGTTAACCTTCCTCTTTATTACATGCAAATTTGATCGCTTCATAACGAATGCCGCTACCGCGATTCCTTCGATGCATTTATTAAATTAAATTACCCGCGGACTTGGAATGATTTTCGAACGATTATCCTTCTGTCTCTGCGCGCGTGAAAATTCTCCGCCTAACCTCAAATAAGATCGGAAGGGTATTAAATCTACGTATAATCACGACCACCAACTTTTTTCTCGCTCACTCATTCGGAAACAGAAGCAAACGTCGAGTAACGAGGAAACACGCACAAACGACGAATAAAGTTATTTCCCTTCTCTAAATCCCTCGTTCATTCTCCTCCCATCGTTCCGCTACAATTGCCGAAACCTACCGTGGAACCCGCGCTTTTTGGTTAGTTTACATTCGTCCCGTTCGTAGCCACCAACCTCTCGGATTGGAGTTTAGCCTGTTCTCGGTTCATCTGTCATCCTCGTCACGCTCGTTTAGTTTCTCTCATTTTCGTCCTCGCTATCTCACCGCCGCCAGTCCGTTTCATCCTCGACCTCTTACTTGTCGTGCACCCCGCCCTTCTCGTCCCGACCCGTCGGCAACGTCGATGCCCTTCCCCCCACCCCTCCAGCCTCTTTTCGTCCCAGTGACTCCAACTCGAAAGTGTCTACAGCCGACGTGTATACGTGTATACGTGTACACGCATGCACGCCCTGCTACGAGCTCCGACGTTCATCCCCGTCGGATAGGGTGGTAACCATCGACGACCTTTCCGCCTCGACTCCCTACAAACAATTATTATCACTTTACCCTTCCTGCACTCGGCCCGGTGACGCTTAATCTTATCGTTATTTAACGGGAGAAAGAAGAACACACGGAGGAGGGGAGAAAGAGACTTCTCGACTGAAAGACGAGCGCAGCGACTAGTTTTAACGAGCGGTGACACGCGAGCCACGTTCGTCACGAAAATTTCGCGTACGTCGGAGCAAATGGAAGAAGAAATTACCGGGTCCCGCTAATGACACCGTGGCCAGGCAACGTGCACCGAGCAGAGTTGCTTTAGCGACTGTAATTCGAGCTAATCGTTACGCGGCGAGCACGAGGCCAGCGGAGTGGGGAGTGGTGCCATTTTTTTTCTCGCCGTCCCTGGGCTGATGTTTCGCGCGTGAGCGCCGCCATGTATATTACTTACCCGGCTATCGTTCGACGGCTTTTAATCGCACTACATTAGCGATCCTCACGTTCGGTCTTCGATATGCAAAGGAACCATTTCTTTCCCATTTCTCGTACGAATATTCTTACCGTTAACTTTATCTTCGATTCGTGTTGGAACTGAACCTTTCGCGAAATAATTAATCTACAAATAACCGAAACGAGATCGTGGACGAAATTAATCTTATCGAGGACTAATTTTCTCCCGATCGGTAAGGAAGATTTAAGCGTCGATTTCTATGTTAGAAAATCACTCGCTCCGTCGATTAACGCAAACGTGTAATTACCGTTGCGGGCTCGGTCCGCGTTAATTGGTTAATATCCCGCTTTAATTGGTTAATATTCGCGTTTTGTAAAGTCGTATGTAAAAGCACACGATATCGCTCGGCCGTGGTACAGGATACAGAAATCTGTGCCGCATAATTCGAGTCGGCGCGAAAGCTGGAAAGAAACACGTCATCGCTTGTCATCGAACTGGAACGCTCGATACGAAATTCCTTGCTCCGCTATCTTCTGACATATCGACGACGCGTTTAACCGGATAAGCCCGCGACAAAAATAGGACGGTTCTCGCCGAATATTACGCGAGCGTTGCATTAAAAGCGACGGATCGCTGTTCCACCCCCCAACCCTCGCCGACTTCCACCGCTTTTACTTCTTGTTTTCACGGTTCGGATATAACGCGGGACACGACAGATCGCGAGTAAAAACCGGTTGCCTTCGCTCGCAAACAAAACCGAGTTAACGCTGCGTTTTACGATGTCGACTTTGACGAATGGGTGACGTTTTCTCAAACATTTCCCATTTCATCGTATTTACCAAACATTTTAACGACCACCCTTCTTTTTTCTTTTATTCCACGCTTATTTTCTCCAAGCTACACGAAGCATGGCTGCGATATTCCGTGTTTTATCCTTTACTGTTTCCATCATCTTTGCCTTTATTTTTTCATCGATCTTCCTATACTTTTTTTTTTCTTTCCTACTCGATCTTTTTTTAAAATATATTAAAGTAATTCTGTAACTCGAGAATTTCCAAGAGTTCGTATAATTTTGTTCATTTTTTATGACTTTCTTCTTGCACCAAGGAATTCTGAAATAAATTAATTTGTTAAAAATTTTGAGACCTTTTATAGGAAGAAAATTTGTTAAAATTGAAGAATAAAAGAGGAGAAAGTTTCTGGTTATGGAATTTTTGTTAAAATGTGAAATAAGGAGCTTGGGGAAACGGAACGCTTAGGATTCGAAAATTCTAGTTTTTTTCTCGCGATTCGCGTTATCATGGTTCGATTGTATTAAGGAATTTTACCATGTTCCGCCGATGATGAGACATCAATTTTCGTATCTCGAAGTCATAATAAATGGCAAACATGATGAAACAGAAGAAACTTTTGACCGCGATATTTTTAACTCGGAGTTTAAGTTGAGAGCTATGTTTGGAACACGAGTATCTGAAAATTTAATCAGCAGAATAAAAAATGTAATACCCAGATTCCCAAAATTTCCAAAATTTATGAAATTTATAAAAGTTTTACACGCACTACTTTACATTTTTCAGAAATGCAACGAGCTTCTATTTTCTTCCGAATCTTAATTCCTGGCAAATCAAAATTTAAACAGCGCGGTAAAAAATGCAGTACCCAAATTTCCAAAATTTATAAAATTCATCAAATTTTTAAACTCTACTTTATAATTTTCAGAAACGTAACGAGCTTCTATTTGTTTCCGAATTCCCCTCAAATCAAAATCGAATTAACAGAATAAAAAGCAAATGTCGAAAATTAATAAAATAAAAATTGCAATTTCGAAAAAATTACCAGAATCATAACTCGTGAATAAAATTCGAATGAATTTTCTCAAGAAAGGAAAAAAAGCAAAAAGAGTAACAACCGTCTCTCATTATAATAATAAATCTGAGGATTATTGAGCCCCGGAACAATTCCCAGCAGCGAAATTGCAAGCTTCTCGGCATCGCCATTGCCATTACCATTATAATCACTATGATCCCGAATGGAGTCGCGATCGATTGCTCGTCTTTTTCGTCCGATCTCGGCCGGATCGATCCCTGCTTGATCCGTCTGCGCCCCTATTTAAACAGTGGCACGGCCGATTCGCGTTTATCAATGAGGATGACGAATATTTAGGATCATCGATGTTTATAGTTTGTTTAACTCGAATGTTTGTCAACGCACGGTTTATTAATGCCGACAGAATTCCTCCGTTCACGCGGTGTATTTATTTACATCGGTCTATTGTTCGGTCGGTTCGCCGGGGCCGAAATTGATCGGCGTGCGTCGAATCGATTGCACGGTACATACGTGATAATTCTAGCGCGATCGGAAGACCTTTCCACGCGTGCGGTATAATAACCTCCTTTCCCGATGCTACCAGCGCACGCTATGCATCGCCAATGTGCAATCTTTTTCAACTAACCTCTAATTTCCACCGGCCGAAACTTGGGGCCTTTGGTCCGATTTCAAATGGGTTCCTCGTTATGGTCTTTGTTGCTCGCTGCTACCTGTTGTCCTCCATCGGAATTTGTGGAATTCCGCCACCCTGAAACGGAAAGACAAATTTAGCTTTACGTTATATTCTTATATTCGTAATCCCCAATTCCGCCATTTTGCACGTGGTGCAAAAATTCAGTGCCGTACTCACGAGGGGTCCATATGAGCCCTACCAAGGAATCCTGTATTACGAGGAAAAACTCACAATACCACTATTTCGAATTTTTATTAGGAGAACAGTTTTCTTGATCTTTTGTCCCTAACTGTAGGCTACTATCACACTGAATTTGTCCCAAGAATTTGTCCAAATTCTCGGATAGATCGATCTCTAATACCATAAGCTTGGCAATTTTTATATATATAGAAATTTCTATATATTAGATATTATATTCTTACACTCGTAATCCAGAATTTTTCCATTTTCCACGTGGACCAAATCTTCAGTGCCGTACTCACGAGGGGTCCATAAGGCCCCAACAAAGGAATCCTCCTATTTCGATTTTCTATTAACAAAATTGTTTCCTTAATTCCTTATCCTAAACTGATAACTATAGTTCTCGCACTGTTTCCAAAAATTTGTTCCGATTCTCCGATAGACCGTTCTCGAATACCACGAACTGCTCGAAAATTCGCAAAATTAATTCCTCCATCCTCCGCGACTACTTTCATTCTCACGAAGCACTCCATCACCGAACAAAAGACACCGGACAGAAAATCCGCTGCGGATCAAGACGTACACGTACGCGCCATAAGCGAACCGGTTTATTTAGATTCGGAGGCAGAGCCATCGATTTCACGGAATCGTACGTCGGCCGAATTATCGCGACAGGATCGAAGACAAAGGTGG